TTTTTGATCTTGAACTTTTTTTTTTTTTTTTTACTGATGTTAACTGTAAATAATGGCAAAAAAATAATCATGGTAGAGGGTTACTGTAAAATTTTGTGTGAGTGGTAAGAGTAAGAGGCACAGTTAAACCTAGATTCAAACAGATTAAATTTGTAGCAGTCAGGTAAGCATCCTGTTGGGAGTCAATTTCACAAGTTAGGGGTTTGTGGGAAGAAGTAAATTTACCAGAACAGATTCTGAAATTAGTGCCCTTTCAATACATTTTTTTGCTTTAATAAATTATTTTCTCTTAATTAAAACTGCATTTTTAAGTCAAAATAAACCTAATGAATTGAGTATATTGCTTTGAAAAGATACCTTTTGTGTTCATATAATCTTATTTAAATTGCTATTTTTTTTATTTTACTAATCATATGTTTTTTATAGTAAATTTCTTCATGACACAATTTTTTATCAAAGTAGTAAATAAATATATAACTTTAAAAATCCTTTTAGTTCTGTTTGCATGTAAGAAAGTGAAAAAATTAATTTAAATTTTACCTGATCTTTATATTAAATAAACAGATAAAATACTTTTCTTTTTAATATTAAACACTACAAACATTTTGAATAATACTTTGACACAAAGTAATTATATTTGTACCAACACTTTCGTATTAGTGTATTATTTTATAACCGATAAGGTTAAAAAAAAAAATATAAAGACTTGTCATGTATTAGATTTAAAATTCAGGATAAAATTTCAATTAATTGGGCAATTTAACACTTGGACTGTTTCTGATTTATAAAAATTTCATAAAATATTTCCAATGTTTCTGTCAAATGATAATTTATAAACAAACAAGTTTCTTTTTTAATAAAATGCTAATTGCTTTCTTAATGTATATAGCAAACAGAAAAGAGAAAAAAAAAAACAAAATTCCTCAATGTATATTCATTTTTACCCTACAGTATCTAAGGGATCATATGTTTAAGAATTAATGACTCATGTCTTAACTAATTTACTTTTAAATATATCACCATATCACCAGAGGGTTGGAAAATCATAAGGAAAGGTTTAACATTTCTATTAGAAATAAAACACACTTTGCTTAACAAGTACTTTTAGAAAAACATTTCTTAGATAATAAAAGGAATTTCCCATTCATATTCTAGATTTCAGATATGTGAGTTAAAGAAAAGATTTTTTTTAATTTGTTTTTTGATATGCCTCTATGTGAATGGACAAATCCACACTCTTTTTCACTTACTGTTTGCACCCCACCTCCCCACACACACACAATAGGTCATGGGTTTGGGAGTGTAGTGGAATGAAAGCAGATAGATAATTCCACTTCTTAATAGGCACCAATCTACTAAAAGTTTTTTTTTTTTTTTTTTTTTTTTAACTTTTAGGAGACAATGCAACTTAAACTAGCTTAAAATTAAAAATAAGTAGTTAAAATTTATTAAGGAATGGCAATTACATAATTAACTGTTCCTACCTGATTTTTCTATTTTTTTTTTTTTTAAATAGGTATCACCCCATGCAAGGAAGTAAAGCCACTAAGACACAAGGGGTTAAAGGGTGGGGAAGAATTAGGAACAGAAACACTAATAATCAGTGGGAAGAGAAAAGAGTAATCAGGAAGGTAGTAGATAGTAATTGACGTTGCATTTAAACTTTTGCAGATTAAAGTTGGCTGAAAAGCATGAAGTTGGAAGGGAGTTCCACAAGTGAGAAGTGTGAGAAAAGAAACTGTCAGCATAGAATTTATGGCTATATATGTCTAGGTACTATAGTGAAGAGTTCATCCAAACAATTACCATGAAAGTATTTAGATAAAAAAAGGGAGGTAACCTTACAGCAGTGGAAAAGTGACTGAAGCCAAGCTGCCAGATCAGAAACAATAATATTGCTGATTCTTTGGATTTTATACATGCATTTGAATCACACATGTTTTTAGTTTAACTATATTTCTAACATCTTTGCCTAAACTCCAAAATTTTATTTACAAATTTTTCTGTTAATTTATTTTTCCATCAGAGTATAGTTTTGCCTATCACCTGGATCACATGCCTTCCATGACTCTTAAACAGAGGACAAGTTTATCCCTTGCTTCCTGTTTAGTATTGAGTTTCCTGTTCCTTCTCCTAAAGTTTTCTAATTCTTTTTCACTCCCAGTAATCCCTTGCATGTTAGTGGCCTTATTGCCTTGATTGGGGTGAAATGATTAAAAAAAAAAAAAAAAGTTTGACTAAACTTTTGTGCTAAATTATTTTCCATTGCATGAAAATTGTTTTTCACTTGCAAATTTCTAACCTCTTTTCTTTGTTAACTGCATGTTTTGCAATCAGTTGTTCAATTAACAGCATCTCACAGATTTAACCTTGATATACAATCTTGATGCTATACCTTTTTTCAGGTTCCATGGTCATTTCCACCCAGCTGGAATGATTTTTCTGAACACTGGAAGATTAATGGAATCTTAAATCAAACGTCAACGATCTTACAATCTTTTGGATTTAGCACTGACTCATATCCCATTCTATCCTGAAGGGTTTGTTTTCCAGTTTAAGAGCAAAATATCTCATACCTTCCAATGTTCTTTCAAACTGATAAACTTTGCTGCACAGATAATTGGCTTTATAAAAGCAGAAGACTTTTAAGCTGAAGTGTTGTGATGTGAGAAGAGTCCTTTTAGATCAATGACTAGATACCATGAAAAGATCATTACCACAAACTCAAGGAGTGAGAAAAATAAATAAAAAAATGTAAAAGCTTCATTTCAGATGAGTTAACAGTAGGGTAAAATTTTTGCTCTGAATTCTTTCTAAAAATGCTTAAATCAAAAAAAGAAAAAAAGTAATTTTCTTTTTTAAGTGTTTTTGATGAGTGAAATATCCACTGCTAAATTATCCCTCATGCCCAAGTGTGTTTGATTCATCATCCTAAAAAGTTTAAAACTAAAATCATGTGGTCTAAAACTATACTTAAAAAAATTGCATATATATATATATATATATATATATATATATATATATATATATATATGTGTGTGTGTGTGTGTAAATATATAATTTTGTAAATCATTTTCACCCCAAGCAAGGTGATAATTCCACTAGGACACAGGGGATTACAGGGAATGAACAAGAATGAGAAAAATTTAGTGAGAAGAGAACAATAAAAGAACAAGATTCATGAAGGCAGAAGATGGCAACTGTATGTGTGTGTGTGTGTGTGTGTGTGTGTGTGTGTGTGTGTGTGTATATATATATATATATATATAGATTTCTTGCTTCTTTGACACCTACAATCTTCAAAAATTTGAATGTAATGTCAGTTGCCATCTTCTGAGAGTAAGTTCCACTCAGTCCCCCAACCTGCAGAACTGTTACTTTGTGGAACAAACACTTGAGGGGATGCTTCTCTGACAACTACAATCTTGGACTCTTCAAGTCCAAGGTCAACCAATATCTACCCTACATGTACTCATAATATAGACTTCTTGCTTCCTTCTTACCCTCTTCACAATAATCTTATAACTCTCTACTTTGAGTGGCTCTTGAGCCTTGTATTGGGAAAACTATCAGTAAAAAAAAAAAACTACAAAAAAAAACAAAAAACAATTGGCCTGGAAAATGTTTTCATAAAGTGAATATAATTTACTCAAAGATGAATTCATAATACCATGATTTCTGAATCTCCTATGATAACTATACAATCTGACTATTTCATTTTATCTCCTGTTCTTAGTAAATTAGTACTGGAATGAAGTGAGATCTGTAAACCATGAAGGAAAAAAAAAACTGAACTAAAATTAAAATCAATTTTTTTTTTTTTATTACAATACATTTAAAGTAAAAAACAAATGTTCAGCTTCTTCATTGGAATCATATTTTGTCTTACTAATGTGTACTTTGTTCTTGTGAAATAATTTTCTGATGATACCATTTCATCAATAATAGTAATATGAAATTCCCAAATTATATATTTAGCATTCCATCAGATTCTCAGCCATTTTTACTCTCTCTTTCACATGCATACATACATACACACACACATGTGTGTGTGTCTGTGAGAAAGTGGCATTTCAAAAGTAACATCTTTTGCTTACTTCCATAGAAAGTACAACAGATACAGGATGTAGAAGCACAATAACACCATTCTATAGAGCAAAATTTTCAGTTATAAAACACCATTAGTATTTTTACAGTTATGATTAACTATGCATTTTACCAGAAATTATCAAGAGTTTACATCTGTGTAAGATTGTTTAAAATATGGTTTGCTATGAAAATGCATTACACATTACCTAACTGTGCTCACATTCACTGTTTGGTCTCAGTAAACATTAAGCAAGTGTTGATGAATTTCAATGAGTGCAATTTTTTTCTGCATGAAGAAATGTAATGCTATGCCTTGCATACATAGGCATTTTCATGTCAGATGCCATTTTCCCAAACTGCTGCTCCAATACTATCTGTAACAAGGCACAAAAAATGATGGGCTATTGGTTGGAAGGTTCAACCTCTACTGCCATAAAACTAATATCTGCTTCTGTTGTCACTGGCCAACATAAAATAGGTATCTATTTCAGAGCAAACCACATATACACTTTGGAATTAACCATAGTATTTTAGTAGAGGTAAGGTATTATTTTAAAGCATGAAAAATGGTAATATCAGCAAGAAAATCAGAACAAATGCAAAATATTTTAAAATACATGATTAGAGTGCATTTAAGAGGATTTTTATAATTGAATATAAAAATTCCCCAATTCAGTCTTGCAATTTAAGAACAGAGTAATTTTTATCAAGAGAAAACATTATTACAGTTTTAAAAAGTTGCTGTGTTAAAACAGCATTAAGTTTCCAGTATGTAAATATTGTGTTTTAATCTAAATCTTTAGCCTTGTTTTTTTTTTTTTTTTTTAATCATGGAAGAGCATAGTTCCTTCACCATTTCAGTTAAATCATTAATGGATCTCAGAGATTGAGTTTTATGAGAAAGTGGAAACATTGCTAGCATTATGCACACCATAGATATGTAGATAGGTATAGACAAGCCTATTAATATAAAGGAAAAAGTTTTCAATTAAATTTGTCTTGTAACTTAAAATTCAAATATAAATCGATATTTATTAGATTGGAAATGAGTTCTGTCGTTAATAATAAGGATTACTATCCAGACAGAAGTTTAATTCATGCAACAACTCAGTAAAAAAAGAAAAAAAAAAGAAAGAAAAAAAACAAGGAAAAAAAAAAAAAAAAGATTTTCGGATGAAACAAGTTGGCCAGCCAATTTATTTGTCACCTCAACCTGATCAAATAAGTTGTGGGTGGAATTAGGAGGGGAAAGTTTGCCTGCTTAGTAAAATCTTGCAATATTTGATTGTCGGGTTTTTATCAGCTGACCAAATAGTCATTACAAACTCCTTACTTTCGACTGAATTTAGTTCTTGACAAAGTTACTATAAAAGCCAAGGGGGGAAAAAAAAAGTCAAATAGATTTTTGGTTTGTATGTTTCCATCAGTATGGCACTTCTGACACCAAGGAAATGTTCTCTCTTAAAAAAAAAAGTCCTGTGCTTGATGAAAGGATATTACAGTAAACAAAATTATTTTTTGTTTTTTTGGCCAAAGTGCTTTATTTCCTGATGTAAAAAAACAAACAAAAAAAACCTACATTATATTCTGCATTCCTATAAAGAAGAGAATAAGAATCTCTTCTATAATATAAAACACAATGTGACTTTATACAGTTATCAGTCATGCATCCTGATCTTCTCTATATAAGATAATGAGTTTTTGCACATAGTAACAGAAGGCATGGCTCTACACTAATAATATAAATTTAATGTTTGAATACTGGCAACATCAGTCCTTTTAGAATGTTTAAGACATGTTGTGGTGAGCATTAAAGTCAGTAAAGATAAAGATGTTTGCAGATGGGTGGAGGAAAGTGCCTTTTCTATAGTGTCAGCTATTAGGACTAATATACTGCAGTCCTGGGAAGAGGGGGAGCGATAAAGGAAAAAGAGATAGCTAACAGTGTTTAGTAATGATAGACATGAAGAAATAGTCTGGAGCCTCAAAAGAAGATTGTCTCAAATGTAAACACCAAGGCCAGGCATGTGAATGCTGGAATTTTTTTTGGCAAGGGGGAAGATAACACAATTACACTCAAAAGAGAAGTATTTTCTTGATTTATTGAATATCATAGCTCTAGTTATCTATTGAATGCATTTTGGATGAAGTTCTACTAGCTGAAAAGATTACATTGTATTCTCATAATTTTCACATTTTTCAGTTGTATTATTATAATTATTATTATTAAGAAAATATAAACAATGCAATTGTAAAATTAAATATTGCTGGCATTTTGATGGTAAACTTGCAATAATAATTAAAATAAAGGTAAAATTTAATTTCTGTTCAGTCTCTGTTACTCTATAGAAAAAGATCTACCGATCAAAATAACTTCAAATATGTTGCCTGTTTAGAATAAAATTAATCTGTCCTACAGAAGATTTCCTGAATAACAAATTTGTACAGGCATGTCTGTTTTATCCAGGTGTCATTGAGTGTATTTCGGTTTTCATATTTTGAACCCTCAAAAACTTAAGTCATATGTGGCAAGGATTAGTCTTGAGATAATCTTGATTTATGGCAAGAGTGTTTAACCAGTGTCACATTTACAAAGATAGATAATCCCATGAGAAAAGGCTGTCAACTGAAAATAAAATGGCACAATTTTAAGTACAGCAGGTATAACAAAGATACTCAAAATTTCAAATGTTTACATCAGCATATGAGAGAGAGGGAGGATGGGAGGGAGAGGGGAGAGAGGGGGAGAGAGAGGGGGGGGGGGAAATGGGGAGAGGGGGAGATAAAATTCTCAAATTTGCTGGAATTTTTTTTTTTTAACTTATTTTACTTATATTTAGATCTGGCAATAATTTCTGAAAAAGATGTAACTGCCAAGATTTGAGTTAAACATGAAGATTACTATATTGACCACAAACATTTTGTATAAAATGTTAAGTGCATACTCTTCTTATTAAGTAATTACCTATCTCTATGTAGTTGTCTTTTCTGATAGTGTAGTAGAAGTGGAATTTTTTGTAATTTCTTTCAACTGCCTCATTCAATAACCTGCATTGAGTGGCTCTCAGGCTTCCTATTAAGTGAACAATAGAAATTACAATTTTAGGAGAATTATCAAAAACCTTTGTTACTCTGAATTAACTTGGTTATCTTCATTATTTACTGAATATTAAACTAAACAAACGACATACTCTTTACCGCTGAATAGTTTTATTAATGGTTGCCATTTTAAATTTAATAAAACTATTCAGCGGTAAAGAGTATGTCATTTGTTTAGTTTAATATTCAGTAAATACTGAAGATAACCAAGTTAATTCCGAGTAACAAAGGTTTTTGATATTTTATAAGTATAATACAATTGCAGAAATATTTAAATATTGTTATTTTTCTTTTTACAGTATGGGCAAATGATAAGATATGTAGAATAATTCTCCTAAAATTGTGTTAAAAAGAAAAAAAAATAATAACCCATTCATCTCTGATCATGGCGAGAGAAAAAAATTGAATAAAGCAGACAAAATTGTCCCAAAATGGCTACCAGCATATAAAAGCATAGAGTTGGCGAGTTTGCAAGGTGCAAACCGACAGATTTCCCATTGATTACAGCAAGAAAAAAGAACACATAAAGATTAAGCCAATTTTTTTTTCTTATTTAGTTTATATTCATTTTTCTCTTTCTCAAAAGAAAAAGATGATTGAATTGTTTAGTTGTCATAATGTGAAAATGGCAAGCAAGAAAAGAAAAAAAATACAAAACAAAAACGTCAACTGACAGGCTATGACAAATACTATGACCCTTTCATCCCATTCAAAGTTTCAGCTTACCAAAAACTACTAAAAGGCAAATTAATGTCTGCTGAAAACTGCTAGGTAATCTGAACTAAGACACATTATGTTAATAGAAGTCATATTGAGAGTCAGATCACACCTTAATGCCGACACTGACAACGCTGTTCTGTCCAGGAAGAGGAAACGGTTCTCTAAGGTGACATTATTATAAAAGAAGAGAATATAATCTTTAAATAGAAGACTCGGCTTTCAGATAAAATCAAGTTCTGTGCAGATAGAATGCAGATGAATATGAATTGGATTCAGGCAAAGTTCAAATATTAACTAATTCATATTTGATAAATGTATTTCTGACACAGTAACATCTCTGTGGGTCAGGGAATATTAGATGTAAATATTTTTGTAATGTCTAATTTGACAGCAGAAAAAATATTCACTTCTAAAATATGTATAAGTGATTTTCAGAGGATTACATTTGTAACTTTTATTAGAAATTTTAATCAGGTGATAATTCTAAAATTTAATTAAGATCTTTCGTGCTTTTGACAAAATGTTTCCAGCTTTAAATAACTCATGACTTATGGTCATATCACATTGATGTAAATGAAAACAGCTTGGAATGAGAATTCAGAGAGTTGTTCAAATTCAAGTTGGGTTCATTATATTCACTTAAGCACAAATATCCTTGGGAAAGGTATGAATTCACTTTCCTCAAAGCTATGGGTTAAATAGTATTTGAAAATCATTATTAAGATCAAAAAATTGTTAATACATTATTCACTAGCAAAAAAAAAAAAAATTGTTGTTACAATTCAAAGTATGTTACAACTATTAAAATATGTTACAACTTTAAAAAATACAATTTTATGACTATTAAAATATGTTACAACTTTAAATAGCTTAAAAGGGGTTGATAAGCTGTAAAAACAAAATCAATCAATCAGTAAAACCACAAAGGTTTTCATAAGCTGTAAAAAAACCCAAAAAACAAACAATCCTGTTTCTGAATGTCATCCTTTTTGGCTGCATATGGACAGAATTGGTCACTTTGATATGGTGCAATGGTTAGCAAACTTGTTTCAGTAGGACAATTGTGACTTAGTAGTGAGTTTGATCTTCACTGGGTGCTCAATACTTTTGGCTTTGTGCCACATCCACACTTAGAAAAATCGGCATTTGGATAAAATTGCTACCATTATATCCATCGTCATCTCCCCTATGTGAGGTAATCAACTAATCCACTGTAATACTCTACACCAATAATCAAACATAGTTGCTGTTAACAGCAAAACAGAATATCTTAATAAGTAGGGGAGATCAAGTTAATAAAGTGTTATTTGTTCTTTTGTAAATGTTAGCTTTGGATATTTTTACTTTTAATGATTTGAAAAGGTAAAATTCTTAATAATAGCAACAGAGTTAATTCCATGGATAGAAATTCTAGATTACTCATGCAGACAGTACATCATGGAAGTAAAGTTTCTTTTAAGACGAGGGGTGATGAAAAGTTCTTGGTTCAATGCACCGCCCCAAATCTGGTCAAATGATCAAACATCACTGGAAGGATTTCTTGAATGGTAAAAGAGTTGTACAGCAGAACTTTTTAATAATTAACAATTATCCATTATCTCATACATTTGTTTTATTATTTCACACTTTACCTGTATGTTCTCAATATCTCCCTTATCCCCCTCTTCCAATCTTTGTCAGCTGTTCACATTTTTTTTTTATTTCTATTTTATACACTTATGGATTACTTCATAATGCAAAAAAAAACAAAAAAAAAAAAAAAAAAAAAAGAATGCTCAAATATTGCATCCTCACTAATCTTTTTTTCACTCATTATAAAGAAGTTTAATGTGTTGCAATTTTCATGTCTTTTCATTATGAAATGCCTTTCAATGTTTTGCCCATTGTCTGCTTTATATTCAGCCAGCATTTATTGCCTTACTTGGGGTGAAATGAATAAAGATATAGAAAAAGTAAATATTTACAATAAAGTATAAATGTAAAAGGACAATATGAATAAAGTAATGTATATATATATATATATATATATATATATAGTGCAACCCAGATATAAGAGAGTTGTCGGGACCGGAGAAAAAGTCTCTTATATCCGGGTTTGGTCTATTTTGTTTAGGTAAGTATGGGAACACTTTGGGACCAGA